ATATCTGAACTGCGAAGTCCGACGAGATGTTGAGTTCGTCAGTTGTACTTCGGAAGACGTCGTTCCAGCGCTCCGTGGATTGCTCGGAAGGCCTTTGACGCAGCCACAGTGTCAAGCTACGTCTCTGCTGCGTAAAAGAGCAAACAGGTTGACTTGGAGCTCTGGGTCTGTCAGTTGGACTATGGCTTCCTTTAGGGGCCCGAAGGCGGCCGAAGCTCCTTTTCGCCTCTTGTTTATTTCTTCCTTCAAATCGTTCTTCATGTTCATCGAACTTCCAGAATATACGTAAGAAGACGTCTACGCGATTGGAGAGCCTTTTAATTCCATTTTCTAATCCTCGCAATAAGCGTTCTTCATGAAATGAGTCCTCTTCCGGTTGATACGCAGTCCCATCTGATTCCTTACTTCTCTTAGTTCTCTCAACATCACCTCCCCTTTATATTCCTCGTGACGAGAACAATGTCGTCCGCAAAACGAACATAAAGGAGTCTCTCATCAACTCATATACTTCTCTAGTTCCATTCCAGTGATTACAGATTTGGCGATACGGTGTCGACTTGTCGAACCCTCTTTGAAATTGCTATGTTAAGGGGCGAAGGAAAAGCTGTACCGTTGTAGAGCAGTTCTTGTAGCGGTCGGCCAATGTCCTCACATCAGGTGGGTCCGTCCGGTCTGTTCTACAGGTTGGGCTTCATCCAGTATCTTTGATATGCGAGCGAGAATAATCTTCGCGAAAAGCTTTAAAGCACGCTCAACAGGCATGTTGGACGGTAGATCCTCCATATCGCCTTGAAGAAGGATTGTTCGGGAGGTTCTCTACTGGTCGGGGAACCTTTCCTTTTGAAGGTAGGAAGTTAGATGTTTCGCAAGTATCTATAGGCGGTGTCCTCCAGCTCGTAAGAGGTCGACAGAAACATGGTCCGATCGGAGCCGTGGCTGCCCTCATGCTCCGGATTGCGGGTACTTCAGCAAGTAGAATCCATGGTGATAGTTCTACAGTGGGAATAAGGGGGTTTGACACAAGTGGGCCATCAGTCGCTCAAGATGTGATGCAGCTGGATCCAGCTTCAGTGTTCTCCTCTCAGTGCATCAGAAAGACATTAGTATCATCAGCTGCTATTCTCCTCCGAGCCATTAGCTCTGATGTTGAAAAATAGCAGCTGATGATACTAATTTTCTTCTGATGCAGTGGACGGAGTCGAAGGATAGCCAGGCGAGGTTATAGGATCCTTGCGAATCGACAAGATGGACAACAGATGGTTGTACGAAAAATCCACAACTCCGACGTTCCGTGATGAATATTTTTCGCCACGAATGATGTGATCCAAGGAGGACGGACGTGAAGCAGCTGAGTGTGTCATCACTCAGCTGCTTCACGTCCGTCCTCCTTGATTTTATTTCCTGCAAGGCGATTACGTGATAGTTGATGAGCCTTGCAGCTTCGAGAAGGACGTGGAGTTCGGTGTTGGTGGAGACTGTTGACGTGTCCTTTTGGTCCGAAACCATGGCGTCCTGTGCAACCTGACACTGCTCTGATGACATCCAACGGAGATGTGATCCAGTGTGCAGGGCATCTTTTCCTATTACATGCTGTACAAGCAATAAAATAAATCTCCAGACATAGCAGCCTTGCTAAGGCTTGCCAAGCTTTCACCAGAGGCAATCGCTGACCTATATGGATCAGCGAACCACTTGGCGAGTTAATCAGCCAAGCGGTAGGGCTTCTGGTACAGCCTACTCTTAGCTGGACATGCGGGGAGCCGGAAACTTCGAATTTTTCAGCTTGGGAGACCTGCCAGAGGATAAACCTCCGCTTTACTTTGCAGTTCAACATCCAGAGTCACCCCCGCGCCACGAAGAGGCGGTTGACCATCGCGAAGGATTTGGCCATTTACTACCATTTAAATAGTATGCTTGAAGTCATATATAACTTTTTCTGTTGAATCTTTAGGTGCAAACAAAGATAGGAACATTGTGCAG